TCCCTGCTCTGGCTCTGGTGAATTCTCTCACCCTCCTGTGCTTCTGACTGTACCCAGTGCTTGTATAAATAAATAAATAAATCTTAAAAAAAAAAAAAAAGAGAGAGAGAGATCCTTAGGAAAGCATTAAAAAAAAAGAAAGAAAGAAAGAAAGAAAAATTGGCCAAAGCTCAAAATATTCATGCAGAGATTGGCCTGGGTGGGGCTGGGAGCTGGGCCAGAGATGGTGAGGCAGAAAGTGTGAGCAAGGGGTGGGAGTCACAGGCTGAAGTTGAAGGGATCAACTTGGACTGTCCTCTCATGGTGCTACTGACGACAGAGTATAACCTCATGGTACAGTCTCTGGACTCTGCTTTCCATGAGTAAGGAAGCAAGTATGTGTTTTCCCCCGCCTCCCTTCACCCAGGCCATTGGGGACCTAGCAGCTCCAGCCCTCCCCTATCATGTTACAGGCCCTAGACTTGGCTTTCAGTGCCTGCTGTTGTCTAGCCATATTCTCTCTTAGCATTAAACACACAGTGAGGAGGTCTTCTCAGATCCAAAGAAGCTATGTGACTAGCTTCTTCTCAGACTATAGGAGAGTCTGTCTGCTATCCCCTTGTCTTTGCCTCCTATGTTGGTCAAGAGGAAAGCTTCATGCCACAGAAGCTCTGTGGAGGCGGGAGGGAGTGGGAGTTGGGGTTGTGGAGGAAAGCTGCACATGCAGTTGACCAGTTGCTGGGAAATGCTGGTTAAGGACACAGCATCCCCACCTAACTGGAATTCTGGGATGGACTCCAGGATGGCCTGGTTTTCTGGGCCAGTACAGCCATAGTCAGAAATGCATGGCAGGCAATGGGGTAGGAATTATAGTTTCCTAAGTTCATCTTTCTATCTCTAGCATCTGGAACTGTGTCTGTCATGTAGTAGGCCCGTGATAAATACTAGATGAATGAATAAAAGAATGAACAAAGCTTTCACACACAAGCATGACCTCATTCAATCTGTAAAGTGAAGCACAGGCAGGGCAGGTGTTACCTCGTTTTGCAGATGGAGAACTAAGCAAAAAGGAGTTCAATATCTTGCCAAGTTCTTTCACTTGGATGTGGCAGACCTGAGGCTAGACACTGTGCTCTTTATATCAGCAGAAGGCTGAATATTCTTGGTATAGCAACCCAGGAATGCATCCTGTGACTCATTATGAACTTCCCTTTCGGTCCAGCTGGTGAGAAAATAGCCCTGCAGGGGCCCAATTTCCTGGACACAGTCTTAGGGTCATGTTTGGACATCCTGGTTTTCTTGCACACCTGACATGAGCAGCTCTTCTAAAGGGGTCCCTCTTTAAGTCTCTGTTGCCACATCTAACTCAGGAGGTCTGGACTCATGAGACACAGAGGTAGGGCACTGGTGGCTTACTCCAGGAGTTAGAAATAGGGTGAAATCACACTATCAGTTCCTTGATCTGTTACACTTGACATAAACTTCAGATGGTTTCAGCCACCAAATTAGTTCCTCCTCAGACAAGCAATCAACTCATATTACAGAGGTCAGACTCTAAAGAGTATTTCTACAAGGAGTGTTTCTGGTCTCAAAGGCCAACAGAAGGACACCCCTGAACTGGAATATCTTGTGTCATGTGACCCATCTTCTCACAGCATCCTGTCTTGTGCCCTCCTCTTAAGGAGACGATGGGAGGCCTCCCTGGTGGCTCAGGGGTTAAAGTCTTAGTGCTATCAAGCTATCGCCAGCCACTGAGGCATGAGTTTGATCCCGGCTGGAGAGCTAGCCCACATGGTGTAGCAGACCTCTCTTTTCTTGCCCACTGCTCCTCTCAGCATTGTATTTCAGTGTTCCCGCCTGTTCTGCTCCCCACTCTGTCTCTGGTGAATCCACTCTCACACAAACAGCCCCCACACCACTGGTCTGTACACCAGTTCTTGTATGCATAAATAAATAAAAATAAATCTTAAAAATAAATAAAAATGGGAACCAGGGCCAGAACACCTAGTTTCAGACCTCTCCTGGTGGTGCAGGCAATTGAGCACAGCTGGCCGGCCAGGGAGATAGCCTCTGGCCAAGGAGATACCCACTTGGCACTGCAGACCTCTCCTGTCTCACCTGCTGCTCTCCTCAGCAGTGTATTTCAGTCAGTCTGACTGTTCTGTTCCCTGATCTGTCTCTGGTGAATCCTCTCACCCTCCCGCACATCTGGCCTGTACCCTGGTTCTTGTATGCATGAATAAATAAATCTTTTTTAAAAAAAAGAACACCTGGTTTCTAGTGCTGGCTCTGACACTCATCCACTATGTATCTTCTCTTCACCTCTTCCACATCTGCAAAATAGGAATAACAATTCCCAGCTACAGTTGTGACTTCAAAGAAGAATGGCTTATATCAAAGTACTTTTTAACACAAGAGCAAAATGATGTTGGTATTACTTTTTTGTGGCAAGGAAAAAAAAAGACAAAGAGGAGGGACTCTTCCAGGGTCCCCCAAAGTTCCCGCTTGTTCACAGATTCATTAATAATAATGCCCCTGTGTGAACAAGACATCCTGTAAGTGCTGAGGGAGAGACAAAGATATTTAAGTTGTAGTCTCTGTCCTCAAAGACCTTAAAGACTGCATGATCTGTGCCTCAAGAGATGGTCAGATATTGCAGAGAATGTCAAAGATCACAGAGTGGAAAGGAAGTTAATGTGAAAGATTGGAGGCATTAGGATTGTTCCACCAGGTGAAGAGGCAATAGGGGGAGGAGAGAGGTAGAGGGGTGTCATGCTGCATAACGGTCTCCCAGCCTCTTTGTCCAGGAGGAAATGAGCTCATCCAGCTCTCAAGAACCAGCATGACAGCCCCCAGCCAAGTAATCTGGAGTCATGAGGACTGCTGGGAGAGCTCTGTGAATCACAACAGCAAGCTGGGAATTTCCTGATAGCTAACATAGGAGTTTCGGTTAAGTCCTCACGCTGCAAAATCTGTTTACATATTGATCACGTTTATTTACAATTAATGTGTTCTCAAATCCAAACAAAACATGCCTCAGTCATCTAGAGGAAGTAGTGAGGTCTGTCTCACACCTATAGCACCTCTGACTCAGTCCTTTTCCTGGGAGGTTGGCACCTTGACCCAGTACAGAAACTCGCTCTGGAGGCTGATGGGTCATCTGCCTCACCAAAGCTGGATGGTTAACTGGCATTTTCCCCAGCCAGAGGTTGACACCCTGAGACCTCTGTGTGGGGCAGAGCAAAGAGGCCGTATCCTTTTTTTCTATCTTCTTGGCATTCTTTTAGCCCTCTTCCTGTCCCTCTCCAGTGGACCCAAGCCGAAGATGTAGGTTTATTAAGTAGCAAAATGCTATAGGCAGGGCAGGGCCTACCCTTTAGTCAGTTACAGGGACTCAGTTTCCTCCAGTCTCATTAAAGGGAGACAGTCCTAGGGCCTACCTGGTGGTGCAGGTGTTAAGGACCGTGCTTTCAAGCTATTGCCAGCGACTGCAGTATGAGTTCCATCCCTGGCCAGCCAGGGAGCTGACCCACATGGCACAGCAGACCTCTCTTGTGTCGCCGGCTGCTCCCCTCAGCAGTGTATTTCAGTAGATCTGCCTATTCTGCTCCCCACTCTGTCTCTGGTGAATCCTCTCACTCTCCCACACCTCTGGCCTACACCCCAGTTCTTATATACATAAATAAATAAATCTTTAAAAAAAAGGGAGGGAGGAGACAGTCCTGCTGATTGGTATCCAAGTGACCCCAAACCCAAATCCTGGTTCCCAAAACTAGGAGCAAGGGATGAGGGGGACTAGACCTTAGAATCTCTGCTGTGCTCTTTCAACTGTGATTGAGGGATTTTTGTGTGCAGGTATGTGCCTGTGTATGTCTATAAACATATGTTTACTTTGAGGTAGAAAAGGAGGCTGAAGTTGTTTACACGTAATTTGTCTTTTTAAAGGCCAATCTTAGTTGACAACAATAACATTGCTGCAACTTAGCTTATTAGAAACAAGGCTGAATGATGAGGTGGAATACTAGATTTATGCATTTAAAAATTTGTGATCATCTTTTTGGAATGGGGGACATAAGGATATGCTTTCAAAAATTCAAATAGTATAAAAGGGCATACAGTGAAAAATAAATCTTCTCATTCTTGTCTTTCAGTTCCCCAGTTCCTCTACTCAGAGGAAAAAAACAGAACTTCCTACCCCTCCACCATTAATAAAACTTTACTAATTTACTTATTAATTAATTAATAAGGCATTACTATGCCATTGGTTTTATTAACAATATACTCTGGCTGAGCCGAATGATTGGATCGCTCATTACAAGAACTTCCTGAAAGTCCATCAACACTTCAATAGAAAATACACAACAGTCTGTGCCCTAAGTCTGTTCTCATAGTCCTACTATAGTATAATAAAACTGCAAAATTTCACTAACATCGACCTTGCCTTCTGCCCCTATACACTATCAAATTCCCTAATGAGGTACCTAATAAACTCAGTTCTGTCTTTTCCTCTGGTTGTGTTGATGATTTTGGGGGAGTCTGCAGTCCACAGAGGCAGCCCCTGTTTGTCTGTGTTTCAGCTAGAGCGTCGCATGCATTATCATGTTAAGAAGGAGACAGCAAGGTATCGGGGCTGCGGACTACACTCCTGCACCCAGGGGTCTGAATCAGCAATTAGGCAGTTGGGGGCAGTGGGTGGGAAGGTCAAAGAAGCACTAACGTGGGAGATCTGGGAAGAGGCATTAGGGATGGAGAGGCTAGAGTCTCTACTTGCAATTTCGGGTCCCCTGCCCTGGGGCTGGGTCCAGGCCTGGTGAATAGGAGGTGGGGACAGCAAACTTGGATGCCTTATGATCTCTCAGTTTAAACGTCGTTCGTTTCCGCCCTTGAGGACCCAGCTGCCCCTCGGTCATGGATGAGGAAGCACGCGGCTCGAGGAAGGGGAGGGGACCGAGCGCACCCGGCAATCCCGGACTGGGGCGGAGCCTGGGCTGGGGCGGATCCTAATATAGAGTCCGCACGGCGGGGTTGCTGCACTGCAAGGAGACGGGAGCCCCAGAGCTCCGCGGAGAGTCAGAGAGTCGACCTGAGCTAGCCGTACCCGCCCTGCGTCCTTTGCGCCCCCACCACCGGTGAGTGCAGTGCGCAGGGCAGATGCGCCCTTATCCGGGCTCTCGAGCGTTTCCCTTCGCCCTGTCCTGCTCTCGGAGTCACCGTTCGCTGGACCCTTGCGTCACACTGAGGATGCCAGTCCAAACTGTGCCGGGAACCCGGGGCCCCCAGAGAGGAGAGACGACCTGGCCTGATCCCCGCGCGCTTACCCCGGAGGAGACCTCGGGGATCCAATTCTGACTGCAGTATCCCCACCCGACCGGTCTATTTGCTCCTTCACTTCGATCCCTGTTATCTCCTTCTCCTGCAGAGACGCTGCTTAGAGCTCCCGCCTCGCGAACATGAGAGTCCAGCTGGCGTGCCTGCTCCTCTGCACCCTGGTAGTGAGCGACTCCGAAGTGAGTTGGCGTCTCTGCTTTGACTTAAGGGGGCAGGATGAGGCTTGCAGGACCAGGCACCAGGGAAGGCAGAAAATGCATCGGGAGCTGGCGTCTTCCCCATTCCATCTACAGCAGGGCCAGACATCCACCCCTTCCCCCCAACTAGGGAACTAGGACAGGTGTGGGAGTGGGGGCCTTGAGAACCAAGAAGTTTCTCACTTGCGGTTGGGCAAGGCAAACTGATCGTGCCTGATAAGCGAAGCTTGTTTGAGTCAAAATATTTGTTGGGCTCCCACTTGAGGGCTAGTTAGAGATAAACAAGGAGAGAACTGTAGCTGGAGGGAGGAGGGAAGAATAAGTTTGGGGACTTGGAACAGCTTATCCTCACCCCCCTCTCCCCAGGAGCCTGAGGCCATTGGTGACCTCCTCCTCTTATCCCCATGTCTTCCAGGGAAGTCATGAATCTCGTTCAGTGTCTGAGGCATGTGAGTATCCACCCCTTGTACACTATCTGGCTGCATAAACATCTTGGAACAGACTTGGGAGTGCCCCAGGGTCTCTGCTGCAGGGCTGGCTCCTCTCTTGTCCACCCCTACTGCTCCTTGCTTACCAGCCTCCATTGTGCTCTCCAGCAAATTGTGGCTGTCAGAATGGAGGGACATGTGTGCACTACAAGTACTTCTCCAACATTCATCGATGCAACTGCCCAAAGAAATTTGAAGGGGAACACTGTGAAATAGGTATGGCGATCTGAACTATAACTGGGGAGAAGGGAACATCAGGGAACTTGGGGGCAGGGAGAGATGGGTGGGATGCAAGGACAGGCAGGAATTAGAAGATGGCAGTAGAGCAGGACACACACACACACACACACACACACACACACAGTCTCATGTGTGGTAGGAATGAAAGGAGACCATTTTAGTGTCTTCTAATAAGTCTGAAAACACGGACAACCTGACAGAATCTATAAAATGCCTATCTGGACTTCCTCCTCGTTCTAATAGTCTCTCCTCCTCACATCCTTTCATAGATAGATCGAAAACCTGCTATCATGGAAATGGTCACTCTTACCGAGGAAAGGCTAACACCGACACCTTGGGCCGGCCCTGCCTGGCCTGGAACTCTCCTGCTGTCCTTCAGAAAATCTACCATGCACACAGACCTGATGCTCTTGAGCTGGGCCTGGGGAAACACAATTACTGCAGGTGAGGTGGGGCAGCAAGATTCCTCCACATAGCCTCACAGGAATCCCTTTGCCATCCCTTCTGTTTCCAGAGTGCTGGCCACAGCATGAGGGAAGTGAGGCCTCTGAGTTCGAAGGGCAGGACTCAGGAGAGGCATTCTGGGTTAGAGTGACACCCTCTTCCTCTCTGTGTTGCTAGGAATCCAAACAACCAGAGATGGCCCTGGTGCTACGTGCAGGTTGGCCTATACCAGCGTGTCCAAGAGTGTAAGGTGCATGACTGCTCTTCTGGTGAGTTCACAATCTGTTTATAGTGGTGGTGTGGTAGATGACAAACTCACATGTCCCCTTATTCCAGCACAGTAGTCATGAGGAAGTCCTGAAGAATTGGGAGGTCAGAGGAATTGGGAGGATAAAGTACCTTCTTTATCCTCCCTGCCTCCCCAAGACATCTTTCTCTTTCTTCTCCAGGAAAAGAGATCCTCTCTCCTCCAGAAGCAGCAGGGTTTCAGTGTGGTCAGAAGGCTCTGAAGCCCCGCTTTAAGATTATTGGGGGAGAATTCACCACCATCGAGAACCAGCCTTGGTTTGCAGCCATTTACAGGAAGCACCGCGGAGGCTCTGTCACTTACCTATGCGGTGGCAGTCTCATCAGTCCTTGCTGGGTGGTCAGCGCCACCCACTGCTTCATGTAAGTCCTTCTGCCTCTTCTCCCCGACCCTCCTATCCTACCCTGAAAACACACCTTTCTCATGCCCAGTAAAGGAATCTGCTTCAGTTGTGTTCCCTCCGCCCCTCTCCATGTGGTCCATGATCTTGGGGACAAGTCATTCTCTGAGGTCACTGTGGTGGGAAGGGGAAGTGACAAGATCTCATGAGATCAGGCTGTCTGACAGATCTCACCTTCCACAGTAATTACCAAAAGAAGGAGGAAGACTACATTATCTACCTGGGTCGGTCAAAGCTTAACACCGTGACACCTGGGGAGATGAAGTTTGAGGTAGAACAACTCATCTTTCACGATGATTATAGTGCTGACACACTTGCTCATCACAACGATATTGGTGAGTGGAAAACCCTCGATTGCAATAATGATGATGGCTAGAGGTGAGGGGTCCAACAAGAGATCCAAGTTGGAGGTTGAGATAGCAGGGGAACTTAAAGACCCTGTTTTACACAACGAAGGGACTGGTGAGAAGGTTCAGAGTGAAAACATGAGGGGCCTGGTGTCCCTCTGTAGAGTCCATGAATTTCCCAAACAGTTAACCGCCTCTGAAAATGACTTTGTGGACACATAGATAGGGGGGTGATGCCCCTTTCTTTGTTGGATGCAGCCTTTGTCTGTCCCAGTACATAGAAGTTGGCCAGTAGACCAATGGGCTGGATTTTAGTGTAGCTACCTCCGTTGGGGCTTTATGTAGGAAAAAACTCCCATATAGCTGTGTGTAACATTCCTGGCTGTCCAAGGGTTTGTCAGCAGCTGGAACAAAGTCCTTGAAACATAGGACAGTGAAGGCTTGCTTCAGTTGACAAGCTAGCAACAGTCTTCTCAGTAAGACCTCTCATTCTAACTGACCAGGTATTCATCTTTTTATCCCTCTCCTCTCTTCCAGCCTTGCTGAAGATCAGGACCAGCACCGGTCAATGTGCGCAGCCATCCCGGACCATACAGACCATCTGCCTGCCCCCAGAATATGGCGATAACCGTTTTGGCACAAACTGTGAGATTTCTGGCTTTGGAAAAGAGAATACGTGTAAGTGACATTTGGAGCTGGCTGAGAGGGCTCTGGGAGACTGTGTAAGCTGGAGATGAGCATTTTCTGATCAGGGGAAGACTGCAGACAGAAATGGGACACTGAAGAGACAGCACATGGGTTTGGGGCTGGAGTGGAGAATATTGTTCAGAGAATGATGGGGCTAAAAAGGGAATAAATGGGCATGAGGGGCTATAAGTGGGGTAGAGTCTCTGTTTTGGAAGAAAAAAATAAGGATTTTCCAGGGTAGGGATATTTCATGGTGCCCTCCCTTGCTGGGAAGACTTGCTGGGAAGAGTCTTGCTGGGAAGACTGAACAGATGCATCTTAACAAAGACTTCTCCTTGTTTCCTCCATCTAGCTGACTATTTCTATCCTGAGCAGCTAAAAATGACTGTTGTGAAGCTGCTCTCCCATCAGGAGTGTCAGCAGCCCCACTACTATGGCACTGAAGTCACCCACAAAATGTTGTGTGCTGCTGACCCGCAGTGGGAAACAGATTCCTGCCAGGTGAGAGTTCTAGCATCACTCTCCATCACTCTAAAAATCTCTTTAGGGCTCCTTGATCCTTTTAGTTTTGGGGAGCTTCTCTCTAGCCAAAGTCCAAAAAACCAGAATCAGGAGTTTAGGTCTTTAAAGGTTTAAACCAACTCTTATTTGTTTACCAAGCATTTGTCATGAGCCTGGCTCTGTGAGAGGCACTGCAGACTGGGAAAGTAGAGGAAAGAAAATATAAGAAAGAGGAAAAGATGTAACTCAGTGCTTAGGGAGTGGTGTGAATTATAAATGATCAGATGTTTAGTGAGTGCCAACTAGATGGTCACAGAGGGAAAACTTCCAAGAGAAAGTGGGCTCAAGAGGGATTTGAGGAGGCAGAGGGAGGAAAGGTGAGCATTTCATCTGAAGGATACAAAATTGACAATGAGCATGGCATTTTGAGTATGGGGACAAGTAGGGTCTGAGGGTGTATACGGAATGTTGGGAAATATCAAGACTTTGGAGACCAAGCAGAAGATTCTAAACTTGTTGTAATAGGAAGTGGGGAGTCACTAAGGACTTTGACTACAGGAAACTGTTCCTTCTCTCTTGGGCATAATTGGAGGGGGTGGGATCAGAATACCCCCTCTCCTCACTTCTCCCAGGGCTTAACTTTTATGTCTTTGCCTTAACAGGGAGATTCGGGGGGTCCCTTGGTCTGCTCCATCCATGGCCGCCTGACTCTAACAGGGATTGTGAGCTGGGGCAGTGGATGTGCCATGAAGGACAAGCCAGGTGTCTACACAAGGGTCTCACGCTTCCTGCCTTGGATCCGTTCTCACATCGGAGAAGAGAATGGCCCAGCCCTCTGAGAGCTCTCAGAAAGTCAAGGGAGAAAAGGGGCTCCACCCATTCCCATGACGACAGTCATTTTGACAGTAGGGCCATCTCTGCCTGCTATATGTAAGCAAGAGACTGCAGAAGTTAGGCTCTGCTGCAATGGTTTTGCTTGTTCTGCCCACTGGGTGAGCAATAACTTTACTCTGAGATACAGGCCTGGGTGCTGGCTGCCCAGAGCCCTCCTGGCCAGGATGGGAGGGGTGGTCCTGATCCAGGATATTTGGCCCATTAGTCTTTTTGTAGACTAAAACTTCCTGGAGTTAAAAAAAAAAAATGGCCTCTCCTGTGCATGGGTGGGCGGAGTGGACATTTATGAGGCCTACTGTTGGGAAATGAATAATTTCCCAATTAGGAAGTGTAACAGAACTGAGGTCTCTGGAGGGAGCTTGGCCAATGTGGGAACAGTGGTTTGGGGAGTAAAGATGCTAATGACTTGAAGGAAAACTCTGACATTCCATGAATGTGTCAAGAAATATATGTTTGTGTATATTTATACACTTGTGCATGGACTGTGTCAGTGTAAGAGCTGGTGTGTTCCTGTGTCTGACGGCAAGTCTCGGTCTTTCCCTAAATGGTGTGGACTGTAATACCACATAGGAGAGTTTGTCTGGAGAGGCCTTGGGTCACTCCTGGAGTCTCCTGATCTCCTGGTGTCCCATGTGAAAAAGCATATGAATGTATCATTCTGGGGCACAGCTTGTGACCAGCACTAAATGTCTATTTCATTTTCACATAGATGTCCCTTTCTTGGCCAATTATACCTTCTGAACTGCCAGCCTAGTTCATCCAATTCTCACTGTGTGGGTGAGGACCACTCCTGTACACTGAATATTTATAATTATATTCTGCTATTTTTATTTATATCTATTTTTATAATTTTGAATAAAGATCATAAAATGTGATTTTTCTGAAGAGTTTGGCTTGTGTTTATATGGGATGGAGTTGGGGAACGTAACAAGTACAATAGTGGCATGTGCTCCAGAAGTTTTTGTGGGGCTGCATTTCTGGACTTAATGGGGCTAGGACTTAATAGAGGCTAGGAGAATTACAGGGCCAGCCTCCAGAACACATAAGATATAAAGAAATGCCCCAAGCCAGGGGCTCACAGCTTGATAAATGGTATGTAGATTGGCTATCAACTCCCAATTCCCTCCTTAGCCTGATGTCTTTGTGCAGTATACATCTTGCACAACTGTACACAAGATTAGTCCCTGTGGAGAGACTAATATATAGTTCCACCATATTCTCTGCCCCCCAGAAGGCTTGGGCTGACCTCATTTGAGAAGAATACCTGCATGAGTAAAAATTGCTGCTTCAGACCCCAACCTACCTTGAGTCTGTGGTCCTTCAGGAAACAAGACATAATTGCTCCCATTATCTGTGATTGGGGCTGGTGCTGAGTTTTTTCATTGTGTTAATGGAGCCCATGATCAGCCATTGTTCTCCTTATATCAGGGTTCTGAATCTAAAGCTGGTGATGTCCTAATGGGGTGGGGGGTGGTGACCACATATCTTGAAAAAAAGATCAGTTTCTGAAAAACTGGGGCATAGAAGGCAGATTGGGAGACATAGTTGAATGCTTGAATGCCAAATTATTGGAATTTTCAAGCCATGTAAATGGTTTTGGCAGTGTTTCTAAGTCATCTGAGACTCTTTAAAAAAGAGCATATACATGCTCCACCCATAAAGATTGTGATTCAGGTCAGGGCTGGTGCCAGTGCTTGTGATTTTAAAAAATCTCCCTAGGTATTTCTGAGAAGCACCCCTGAAAGCCTCTGGGGACAATTGACCAGAATATGTGGAGGACCTAGAAAATTCAAGAGGCGGTTAGTATGTGTTCTCTGTATGAACAGTTTTCTGAGTGGGTTTGGTGGTGCAAGATCCTCTGGTCTCCTTGTTCAGAGACTTCCTAGATGGTGGACCCCTAGTGGGTCATGACCCAGAGTATTCAGTTTTCTTTCTTTTTTTTTTTTAAGATTTATTTATTTATACAAGAGCTGGGGTACAGGCCAGAGGTGCGGGAGTGTAAGAGGATTCACCAGAGACAGAGCGGGGAGCAGAACAGGCAGATGGACCAAAAGCTCTGCTACGGGGAGCAGCGGGCAAGACAGGAGAGGTCTGCTTTGCCTATTCAGTTTTCAATACTCGTATCTAGCATGTTGTTTTACACTGTATGACACTAGTTCAGAGCATGGATTTGGATGTCAGGTGACCTGGACAGACTGTTGGCTTTAACACTAGCTGTGTGGCTTGGGAAAGATTCTAACCTCTCTGTGGCTCAATTTCTTCACCTATGAAAAGGACATACTATCTACCTCCTGGAATTGTTAAAAGGATTCATGAGTTCATAAATCTCTTAGCATAATCCTGGCACCTAGTAAAGGCACAAAACAAAACAAAAATAAATGATGGTTACAATTACAAAGCTGTGTAAATTCTTATAGAGCCGAAGAGGACCCTCCTCCCCTCTCCTAACCAAAGAGTTCACTGGTGTGTTTTGTGGGAGCTGACAATTGCTAGGAAAGAAAAGGCATGATTTGAACTAAAGGGGCCCAGCCCATGCTGAGTTACTTCTCAGTCTCTGCATTACCCTCTAGGGGCAAGATCTTGTTCCAACATGAGTTGCTCCAGCGTCAGGGCTTAGAGACACTGAAAACAGGAAGTATGAGCCCCATCTGCAGGATTGAGCAATGGCGCTGCTAACTCTCTTTTGACCATTTCCCAGCTGCCACCCAGACCCCCCACTGACTTGTCTCTTCCCTGAATCCTGTGCAGGACCGAAAACAATCAGTTACTTTTCCAGTCACTGGTTTCATGGCGCCAGATACTACCCTGTCACTCACTCAGGGGCAACCTTCTTCCAGTTCTCACTTATACCAGGCACTGTGCTGAGTTCTTCACCTATTATCTGATTAGATCCTCACAACAATCCCATGAGGAAGGTGGCAGCATTGGCCCCATTTCACAGGAGAGAAAAATGGATGCGTAGAGAGATTGGGAGATTTGCCCAAGGCAATGAAACCAGTAAGTGGCTGACCTGGGGTTCAAACCCAGGCAGCTGACTCCAGAGTGACTGGTTCAGCACTGTGACCTATCACCTCTCAGCGGGACCCAATCTGGAGAAAGGAAAACAGTCTTTCAAGTTCCTTACTTCAGGGATGTGGGGTTTCCAAGCTAAGTATATCAGAATTTCAACCCCAGTCTAGATTATAATTCTCTCCTCTTAAAAGATTCCCAGGTCAAGTGCAAAGAACATACTCAGTTACCAGTTTCAAAGAAAAACTTCACCATTCTCGAGCCAACCTCAGCCTTTTCTGCTGAAACCTGGTTTCATCGAAATGGTTTCCGTTTTCACCAGAGCCCCTCCTTCTGAAATATTCTGTGGTCCATTTTACTATCAGGACTCAACCTGATTTCCTCTTCCACTCTGCCTTTCCCAAGTCAACGCCCTGCAACCACCACATCCCTCCACCCCCACCTCCAGTGTGTCCACCTTCCTCCCTGGCAGTAAACATTTGAGTCTGCCCTTTGAAGTGGACATGGTGAGAGGAGCTGGGAGGTGTTTTTAAAATAATAGTACTATTGAGATATAATTCACATGGCAACAATTCACCCATTTAAAGTGTTCAAGGCAATGCTATTTAGTATATTCACAGTGTTGTGCAACAACTACCACAATCAATTTCAGAACATTTTCATAACCTCAAAAAGAAACCCTTTACCCATTAGCTCTGACTCTTTTTCTCTCCATTCCCCTCAGGCTCTTATTTAAATTCTGTCTCTACAAGTTTGCCAATTCTGGATATTTTATATGAACAGAATCATGTAATACATGGTCTTTTGTGACTAACTCTTACACTTGATATAATGATTTCCAGTTTCATCCATATAGTAGCATATATCAGTACTGTTGTGGAATGTCAAATAGCAAATTGGGAGGAAAAATACTCTAAACCTCCTTCTGTCCTTGCAGTTCCATTGGTAGTCAATCAACAACCTTAATTTTTTTTTAGGTACCATGCATTGTTTTAGTTGCTGGGGATACAAGAATGAATGGGACATAGTGCTAGTCCTCAAAGAGCTCACAACTTTATAAAAGAGACAAAACTAAGACCACAATTCAATGTAATAAATGCTATAATAAAATTATGTGTAAAATACTTGGAACGATGACAAGGAAGTAATTAATTCTGCCTTACGAAGTCAAGGAATATTTTGCAGAGGAAGCAATATCTGGGCCTTCAAACAAACAAAGAAATTTGCCAAGCAAGGAGAAAGGCATTCTAGGCAGAGGGAAAGATCACAATCATGAAAAGGCAGGGAATTCTTAAGAAATGATAAATAAACTGCTACGGCAGAGAAGAGTTTGGTGGGGCAATGAACAGGTAGAGAAGAAACTGGTAGACTCCAGCTGGTGAGGACTCTTCGGCAGGACTGACACTCAGCAGCAGGCACTAGTACTGCTCAATCACTAAAGAGTCGCTGTTCCAAAGTCCCTTCCACATGGTCCCAGCCTGTCTCTCCACTTTTTCATGACATAGCAACCACATGCTAATGCCTAGCACAGCGGGACCTCTGAAACACCTCCCTCTCCAGCTGCCATCAAAATACTAACACTTTAAAGCCCAGTTAGTTAAATATTTTTAATATCACCTCTTGCCCACAGGTACTATTTTTCAAAATCTAGAAAGCTAATTAAGGTCAAAGACTTTTCCTCCTTAACTAAAGTTGTCTACCCAGTTATGAAGTAACTATAAAAGTAAATACTTCCAAAACATTCCACAGGTATTGTTAACATTTCTGGCTTCTTAGGTCTCCTTTGGAATCTCAACCTCCTCTACCTGGCCCCAAACGTTGGGTTCCCCAAGACCTTCTCCTCTTGCCACTCTAGACTTTCTACCAAGCAGTCTTATTCATACCCAGGCTTAAATTATCACCCATATATCGTGGTGTATAAACACTTACTTGCAGCCATACTTCTTCACCGAGCTATTGATCTTTATTTTTCATTGTCTACTTGACACTTCCTTTTGGTTGTCACATGTAGGGCACCTCAAACTCAACCTGATGGACTTACTCTATCACTCTTTGTTTCAGATGATGGCACCGTATCCATTTGCATGCAGAAACTTGGGAGTCATCCTCATCCTGATGCTTCTTTCCTCTCACCTCCCTCATCCTATCCATTACCAAATACTGGCAATTTACCTAGGAGCTCTTGAAGTAATCCATTTCTCTCCATTTTCACCACCACCTTGAGTTGAGCCCATGCCACAATCAACTCTCCAGGACTACGTCCCAGCTGGCCTCCCTCAGTGGCTTTTTCTCTCCTGTCACTCCCTTCCATACTCCCCACCAATCCATTCTGCTCCCCTGAATTGAAAATATTTTGAAAACGCAAATGCGCGCTTAGTGCTCAGGTTGGCTAGCCTGAGTGGGGTCAGGCCCTTACTTCCTCTCTAGCTTCACTTGTGCCAAGCTTTTCCAGTCTTGCCATACCCAGCCATTCTCTCTCTCTTTTTTTTTAAGATTTATTTATTTATGCATACAAGAACTGGGGTACCGGCCAGAGGTGTGTGTGTGGGGGTGAGAGGATTCACCAGAGACAGAGTGGGGAGCAGAACAGGCGGATGTACTGAAATACACTGTTGATGGGAGCAGAGGGTGAGTCATGCTGCACCATGTGGGTAGCTCAGGAAAGGTCTGCTGCGCCATGTGGATAGCTCCCTGGCCAGGGATCGAACTCATGCTGCAGTGGCTGTGGACAGCTTCAAAGGCTGTGTCCTAACCCCCTGCATCCTAATCCCTTGCGCCACCAGGGAGGCCCTCAGCCATTCTCTTTTAAGTCCCTCTGTAATCACAGGACCATATCTTGTGTTGTTTC